CAGATGCAGCAGGGTAAACGTGAATCACTACGAATATAAGTTAAGATATGGTCAGTGATATAATCTTGGTTAATGAGCACACCATAAGCGCTTTGACTTACTTTATGTCGGTTAGAGTTAACTCAAGCTTTTTTCGTTGCTTTCCTCCAGCACACTGAATGGTTTCGACTGGACCACAATCCATAACTTGTCCAAGAACGTCTGCAAAAAAGGTATATGTTTACATTAGTATATAATACATTCGAGATAGCATGAAACATCTATAACGTTGTTATGCTTACCAATCAATAAGTTGTCATCCAGACTTCCAGACAAAACAGATTGAAAGTCGGCCAAATCAAGGTACAAATCTTCATTAACTCTATTAGAGCGCGTAACGGCCGTGTTCTGATTGAAAACCATCTTCCATGAATGATTTGTGGTTCGATAAGCTCCACCAGCAGGAGTAATCTGGAAATTCCGGAGGTAGCGCCATGATCCAACTGTAAGAAGCCTTGTCTTACTTTCAATGTAAGTCTTTTTACATGTTGCATGGATTTTTTGCCCCTAAAACATGTAAAACAAAAATATAGAAACATCAAATAACATTCGAAACAATGATAAAGAACGGAATGATAAATACAGGAAAAATAACTTACAGTCTCATCAGCGAAAACGAACTCCATAGTCTCCACGGATTGAATGTTTTGTTTCCAAGCATGTAGAACCTTTACATGAACCAACCATGTGTTTTTCCATGGTTTCAACTCGTGTAAAAGGACCACTTTATCATTAGAACCTCTTGATGCTTGGATTTGCATTTTAGTAGCCATAGTTTTGTTTAGTGGTTTGTTCGAAGGTGTGGGTTGGAAAATGAATAGGGTGATGTCTATGTATATATAAAGCAGATTTAAGCAACGTGGTTAGGTTTTAGTAGAAACTTGGGGAGAAAGTTTGGGGATATTCTTTTTAGTATCAAATATTGATTAGGATTAGTATTTGGAAAATATAATTAATTAGTTAGCAAATCTTTTGGATATTCTCTTTAGTATCGAATATATTTGTACATATATATATATTTTCGTAATTTATTGTTGTTAACAATTAAAAAGAATATTCAGTTATAGAAAATATTCAGTGATATGTTAAGAATAAATTCTAGGATTAGTATTTAGCCCAAACGGAAATATAATTAATTAGTTAACAAAATCTTTTGGTTTCTGTTTCTATACTTATATTTCTACAAATATATATATTCGTAAAGAGAATATTCAATGATATGTTTCGGGTCCTAAATTCTAGGATTAGTATTTGGAAAAATATGAAACGAAATAAGAATATATACTAATGTAAACATATGAATTGTGTGAACTAACATATAATTGGCAAATTTGGGAAATATAATTAATTAGTTAGGAAATCTTTTGGTTTCTGTTTTTATACTTTTTATTTCTACACATATATATTCGTAATTTATTGTTGGTAACAATTAAAAAGAATATTCAATTACAGAGAATATTCAGTGATATGTTAAGATAAAAAATCCCGACAATTTATGAGGTTGAAAACCGAATTTGGTTATTGATATAGTTTGGTTCATGTGTAAATGTAATATGTTTTGAATAAATATCCCAAAAATATATGATGCTGGGAAGGATGATGTACAAAGGAAAAATATGAAACGAAATAGGGTTTAGGGTTTCATAAAAGTTTAGGGTATATGGTTACTAAATAGAATTGTAAATATCAATAGGGTTACTAAATAGGGTTTCAAGCCATTTCGTTTTAAAAACAGAATTGTAAATATGAATTAAGTACTAAATAGAAATGTAAATATCAATAGGGTTACTAAATAGGGTTTCAAGCCATTTTGTTTTAAAAACAGAATTCTAAATATGAATTAAGTATTGATGTAACGAAATAGGGTTTAGGGTATGATTAAAGATTTGGGTATATGGTTACTAAATAAAATTGTAAATATCAATAGGGTTTGTCTTTATAGGGTTTGAACTTCATATGACATCATATCGAACACTCAATCGTATCTAAGCCCATTTCGTTTGGTGTTCATCATCCTTAATGTTGTAGTATTGATGTTCGAAGCCCATCTCGTTTGGACTATGATGTTTGAAGTTATGTGTTATTTCAGCCCACGATTTGGTTTAAAAATTAATTAAAATGGAATGTTTTGTAATTTTATAGAAAATTCAGGGGTAGAAACCAAAACAGTCACCTGCTTTAATAGTACAGATTCAATTAGAAAGATAAAGGAG